ATGTAGTGGTTCAGGTCTTGGTTAGAAACCAGGAGAAGACGAGTTCTAGTCTCGCCTTATGCATGAAGCCAGCTGAGTGACCTTGGACCAGGCAAGTTTGATTAGTGGGTAGGCATCGACACAAACCCATATGCAGAGGGGTTGATGAGTAAGCATAGATCAAGGGTCTCCAAGCTTGGCAAATTTTAAGACTTGTGGACATCAACTCCCAGATTTCCTCAGCCAGCCATACTGGGAGCTGAAATCCACCAGTCTTCAAAGCTGTGTTGCCAAACACCCAAAGTGCGGTCACATAACCGCAATAGGGAGGGGCGACCATTAGAACTTTGGACGCAGATCATACATCACCTTTGTTTAGGTAGATCATAAATTCAAATGGTCACTAAGTGACCAGTCATAAATCAAGAACCACCTGTACTTTCCCTTTTTTCTCCCAAGCTCCAGCCCATGGTGATCAGCAATGGATTAGCACTTGTGCATAGAGCGTAAAAATGCATGCATAACTCAATTGGACTGAACATCTCTGCTCATGTTCCATTTTCCTGCAATGCCACAACATTTTTGTCCCTCTTTCCTACAACTCTCTGTAACTCGTGCTAGAGACCGTTTGAAATGATTACCGTAGTTTCATCGCTGGATCCTGTACAGCAATGTTTCTCTAACCTTGAAAGAGATGTGAACTTCAATTTAAGAGGTGTGGACTTCAATTCCCAGAATTCCCCAGCCAGCATAACTAGCTGGGGAATTCTGGGAGTTGAAGTCCACATATCTTAAATTGGCTAACGTTGAGAAACACTGCTATACAATATCTGCATATTCAGGTTTTTTAGTTGGGATCTGCAAAGAACTAGGGCTAAATGCCCAAATTTGCAGAAAGCTGCTTGATTCCATTTTGAACCAAACAGGAGTTGTGACAGCTTTTGTTCACTGAAGAAGCTGTTGAAACGTACTATTATTCTAGGGGGGGTATCAAAACTTGCAGGCAACTGGAAAGGTTGAGTTCCTGATGGTGGCTCTCCCTGCCCCATAAGCACTTGAAACTTGCTGTTCAAAAATTGAATTACAAGAATCTATTGCGAATCTAGTATGGAAGTGCAAAAAAAAAAAAAAAAACCCATGCCAAATATCTGTACTTGCTTGCTGGCTGAGGAATTCTGGGAATTGAAGTCTGCACATCTTCAAGCTGCGAAGGCTAAGAAACATTGCTCTAAGCAAAATACAGTAAATGCTGTTTTGGACCTTTCATCAAATCTCACTCAGTTCAGTCTCCAAGCTTTGATACGCGATATTAAGAGATAAATACAGGTTGGCAGACTCTTAACACAGACTCTGAAGAGCTTTACAGCTTCACAGCTGGCACTGCCCAAGTGTTGACAGCAGCAGGCAAAAATAGAGAGGAATGAAAATCTGTAAAGGCAACACAATCATTTGGGCTTACAATGCCCTTCCTCAGTAGGTGGCTTTACTCAACTAGAATTACCAAGAGTATCGCAAATCTAGCAGCTGCATTCACTCAACAAGCGTAAGTGGGTTAGCGTTCATCTTGGGTAGCTGTTTTATCACTTAGCTGTGTGGATACAGCTTGTTTGGTCTGTTTATTGTTTGAGCTCTTGCACAAACTCAGAAAAACAAGCTCACTTAGTTCTCAGTTTGGGCGTTGTGAAAGAACCTGGCCAATCTCTGCTCTTATGGTGCACGACGTTAAGTAATGTTAATCCTCTCCAAGTGTATAAAAGTGGTTCTTTCCAATTGAGCAAGGATACATAGGTTTTATGTGCACACAAATAGCTTGGCACACACAAACACACACATGGGCATCCTGTTCCATCTGACTTCATTTTTTTAAATTTGTTTTTTTTAACTACGTATAAATTAGAGCATAGAACATAAAATCATAGGGCTGAAAGAGACCCCAGAGGTCTTCTAATCCAGGGCTTTTCAACCTTTTCACCCATTGTACCACTTTTAGGATATGGCAATATCCGAGTACCACCAGTCGCCTAGCAAGGTGTCAAAAACTTGATGCCCCCCCCCCCAAAAATGGAAAAAAGTGATGAAGTACAGGTAGTCCTCAACTTACAACAGTTCGCTTAGTAACTGTTCGAAGTTACAATGGCACTTAAAAAAGTGCCCCCCAAGCTACAGCCAAGCAAGATATCTGCCTGCCCACCCAACGGCGCTCTTCCTCCTGTCCGCGGTTTTCATTGTTGTGAGCATTTCTGTTGAGGATTGGCAGCGGGGGTGGGGTGGGGGGGTGTTTGGTTTTTATTCCCCTTGTCTGCTGGGTGGTTGCAGCAGGTTTTGGTCACTTCACATGACACTGGGACACTGTGACCGTCATAAATATGAATCAGTTGCCAAGCATCTGAATGTAAATCACAAGAGCCTGGAGATGCTGCAACATTCCAGCTGATCGGCGCTTCTTCTGGGTTGAGCAGAAGGGCCAGGATCAGCACTGAGCTCCAGCTGGAGCCTGGCGCTGATCCTGGCGCTTCCATTGAGCCCTGACAGCCCCGAAGAAGCGCTGATCCTGGCGCTTCCACTGAGCCCTGACAGCCCTGCAGCTCCAGCCATCTCTTACTCAGGCTTGTGTGGTGCTGCCACTGGTTCAGCTCATTCCCCTCCCCCGCTACTTTTCTAGGATGGTTGCGTACCATCTGCCAGGTGCCAATGTACCACAGGTGGTACCCGTACCACTGGTTGAAAAGCCTTGTTCTAATTCACACACACACATACACACGCTTAAGGCAGGAGATCTTACAACATCTCAGTCAAATGGTTGTCCAGTCTATTTTTTGAAACCCTCCAGTGATGGAGCACCCACAACTCCAATGATTAATTGTTCTCACTGTCAGGAATTTTTTCCTTACTTCTAGACTGGATCTGTCTTAATGAGCTTCCACCCTTTACTTCTTCTCCTACCCTCAGGTGCTACGGAGAATAAGTTGACCCTCTCTTCTCTGTAACAGCCCCTTAAATACTGAAAGACAGGTATCTTGTTCCCCCCAACCTTCCTGTTCAATTGGTTAGACATACTTAGTTCCCTCAACCATTCAGTTAAGCCAAGTTCAAATTAAGCCAAGTTCTACTCCCTGATCAGCCACAGATGTTCCCTGGGGATTTCTGAGCCAGTCCCTCATTTCAGCTCTAGAGCCAGTCTGGTGTAGTGGTGAAGGTATTGGATTAGAAGCAAGAAGACCCAGTTCTAGTATCGCTCAGCCTGGACTTTCCCTCTCTCTCAACCAACTTCCCCAAGTAGGGAGCGCTATATTTCCTTGAGTTCCTGGATATAAATCAAATCAAGTTGGAAATCAAACTCTTCCCTTGCTAGTGTCACAAGGACCTTCTTGGTAAATAAGACCGCTGGACATGTTCCTACCAGTCCAGAAGGAACGGTCAAGGCAAACCTGCCTACATCTGCAAGCATCACATCAAACTTCTTTGTTTCTTCTTCATTGGAACAAATTGACAGAACTCCAGAGTTCTCCTTGGTTAGCCAATAACTACTGTAGAGTGGTAATCAGATTAATAAGTGAGGCATAACTCCAACTAATGGTGACATTATAGCAGTCTTTCACTATCTAAGGGGCTTCCACAAAGAGTCCAAAGCACCTGAAGGCAGAACAAGAAGCAACGGATGGAAACTAATCAAGGAACGATCCAACTTGAGAATGAAGGAGAAATTTCCTGACAGAACAATTAATCAGTGGAACTAGTTGCCTTCAGAAGATGCGGATGCTCCATCACTGGAGGTTTTTAAGAAGAAGAGATTGGACAGCCACTTGTCCAGAATGGTGTAGGATCATCTCCTTGAGCAGGGAGTTGAACTACAAGACCTCCAAGGTTCCTTCCAACTCTGTTACTCTCTTAATTAATTATAATACATCCAAAATGATGGTGATGATGACAATGGGAATGATAGTGATGAGTCCTACCATACCAAAAATAGAAAGTGCCACCACCCTGTATCAAAACTGGTCTATTTTTACCTGTAACGTACCTTTGATCAGGATTCCAAGCTGTCACCGAGCCATTTCCCATGATTCTCCATGCCATATTCCATTCCCTTTTTTGCTCAATATGGCCAAACATCCCAGTGACATGGAAAAGCTCACCTTTGACCTGCTCTATTCTATTTTGGGCACCAGGAAATGGGCTTGTTTTAATTAAAAAATTGGCCAGGCCTTTCTGGATATTGAAAAGATCATTTTAATTATTCTCCCCTTTCTACTGAATGAACGCCATCATTTCCTTCTCTCAGATTTTACTGGGGTGTTTGGTTGAATTACTTTTATTTCATTAACTACAGGTAGTCCTTGACTTACAACAGTTTGTTTAGTGACCGTTCGAAATTACAACAGCACTGAAAAAAAAGCAGTTTATGATTGTTTTTCACTCTTAACGACTATTGCAGCATCCCTGGCCACGTGATCAAAATTCAGATGTTTGAAAACTGATTCATATTTATGACGGTCACAGTGTCCCGGGGTCATGTGATCATCTTTTGCGACCTTCTGACAAAGAAAATCAATGGGGAAGCCATATTCAATTGTAGTGATTCGCTTAACAACTGTATCAAAAAGGTCATAAAATGGGGTAAAACTCACTTAACAACTGTCTTGCTTAGCAACAGAAATTTTGGCCTCAACTGTGGTCATAAGTGGAAGACTATCTGTATATCCTGGGAGTTAGCACCTGAGCAGTTCACAAATGTTTTAGATAAAATAAGTCAATAGATTTTTTTTTAAAAAAAACCCTAATGTAAATGCAAATGCAGAAATGGCTAAGAAAAAAAAATACGATGCAATCTTTGAATTGTCTAAATTATTTTATTTGTGGCAGATTGTCCAGCTGACAGTTTCCCTCACCCTGATTTTACCCCCAAACTGAAATTCAAAAGCTGAGCTATACACTAACAGAAAGGAATGGAAGACCTTTCCGACTAAATATTTATATTTAATTTCCTCTCCATTCGGAGATGGACTATTATTATTATTATTATTTTAATCCCACATGGTACAGAGTTATGGTCCCTCCTTCTGAGATGGTTTGCCAAGAAAGCATTTATTACAAGTGAGAAAACTAATCATCATCATCGTCATCCTTAATAATCCCAATAGCTACCAGGTGGATTGTTCCTTCCCCATTTTAAGTGATTTGACACCGTGAATTCTTCTCCTTGAAATGAACTTGCAGAGTCCACTTTAGAGATGCGAAAGGCAATTTTCCTTACAAAAGTGATTCTGCAGGATGTAGGATTAAGGCCCCCTTGATTAAGAGGTTGCTGGTTTAGTGCTTTGAAGATGCTTCTGAGGTTCAGCTGACCCAAAAGAAGCTGGAGCCATGAGATGGGATGCTCTCCAAACAGGGGTGGTAGGTCCCTCCGACCTGGCCAGTTTAGGGAGCCTCACCACCATCTTCTCCAGCTTCCTCTCTTCAGATCCCCCAGTAAGGCACAAAGACCCTTTCTCCCCTTACGTAAACATCTGGCATCATCCCATAAGGAGTTTGTACCATTTTCACACTGTTCCGCCCATACAGCTCCCATTCGTAGTCTATCAGCTGCTTCCAGAAACCCACGTTCGGACGTATCACTGGGCGCCTGGATTTGACCCAGTTATAGGCCTCGTACAGGGTGACGTTTTGGTACTTCATCAGGTAAGCGATGCACAGCGTGGCCGACCGGCTCACCCCGGCCGCACAGTGGACCAAAGTGACGCCGTTCTTCCGAGCCACGCTTTGGATCTTGTCTGCCACGCCGTCAAAGTAAAGAGAAATGGGGGCGCTGGGTATATCGGCCACGGGCACCCGGACGTACTCAAAGTCGGGGAAGTTGGGGTTCGGGAGTTCGACGGTGGCGTTGATAATGCAGGTGATCCCGCGGGACAAGAGCAGCTGGCGGTTGGAGGCAACGCTGCCTTTGCTGAGGTACAGGAAGGGGGTGATTTGGGCAATGCCAGCCATCGTCCCTTCGGAGTAAAAGCGAGGTGTTAAGAGAGTTCGTGGGAGCGTGTAGTGTCTTCGTGCTGTCATGGAAATGATGCCCGGCTGCTCAGATTTTCATGCTAGATGGATTCTCTGGGATCCTTCTTTTTTTGTCTTCTTGGTAATGTGCCACACGTGTTTTCTCTTCACCTGCCAAATGCAGAGAAAGACCGACTTTTAGTTTTAGTAGGAAAACAGCCATAGCCTGGTTTATCTGACAATGCTGATTAATTTTACTATTTATTTACTTCTTTATATCCCGCCAGCAGGGAACATAGCCAACACACCTTCCTCTTCCTATTTTCCCAACAACAACAATCCTGTGAGGTGGGCTGAGAGAGAATGACCAGCCCAAAATCATCTAGTCAGTTTTCATGGCTAAGGGGAGGGGGGATTAGAACTCACTGCATCCCGGTAATTGGACCAAAATCACCAAACCAACTTTCACACCTAGGGTAGGACTAGAACTCCCAGTCTTTTGGTGATTCGCCCAAAGTCACCCAGGTGACTTTCATGCCTAAAGCAGGACTTGAACTCACAATCTCCTGCTTGCTAGCCTGGTGCCTTAACCACTAGACCAGGGGTAGGCAACCTTGGCTCTTTTATGACTCGTGGACTTCAACTCCCAGAATTCCTGAGCCGGCATGGCTCAGCATGGAAACCTCTCCCTTTCTCCTCAGCATGGCTGGCTCAGGAATTCTGGGAATTGAAGTCCACGAGTCAAGGTTGCCTACCCCTGCACTAGACCAAACTGGCTCTCTTGCAAAATATGTAAGGCCCTGTGGCAACTGGAAACGACTGGAAAATTAGTCCAACTAGTAGCCCACACCTAATCTGGGGTAGTACAGATAGTTCTTGCCTTACAACCGGTCACTTAGAGGTTCTTCAAAGTTACAACAGACCCCCAAAAGCTACTTATGACAAACATCCCTGGTCACATGATTACATTTTGGGTGCTTGGCAACCAGCTCACCGGCCATTTACAGTATCCCGGGGTCATGTGACCATTATTTTCAACGTTTTTCCGCCATTGACTTCTGGTTTCTGGCAAAAAAAAAGTCCATTGAATAAAATGGATTTGTAAATGACCGTGGTGTTTGCCTAGCAACTGCCACAAAATTGATCGTAAAATCAGGTGTAGTCACATGGTGATCTGCTTAACAACTGCAGTGACTTAAGACCTTAATTCCAGGCTCAGTTATGGTTGTAAGTCAAGCACCACATGTGAAAGCAGAAGGGAACCCATACAGGCTGCAGATAGTCCTCAACTTACGACCCCCAATTTAGCCCAAAATTTCCATCGCTAAGGAAGACAGAGACTTTCCCCCCCATTTTATGACCTTTTTTGCCACAGATGTTAAGTGAATCATTGCAGTTGTTAAATGAATAACCCGGTTGTTAAGTGAATCTGGCTTCCCCATTGACTCTGCTTGTCAGGAAATCACAAAAAGGGATCACATGACCCCGGGACAATGCAACCATCATAAATATGAGTCAATTGCCAAGCATCCGAATTTTGATCATGTGACCACGGGGATGCTGCAACGGTCGTGTCAAAAACAGTCACGAGTCACTTTTTTCAGTGCTGTTGTAACTTCAAACTGTCACTCAATGGTTTTAAGTTGAGAACGACCTGTTCTAGTGTCTTCACTCTTTTCCATTGGTGTGAATCTGAATTATTTCCCCCAGCCTCATTTAAGCCAATCCCAAACCATAAAAAAAAACAAAAAAGCATCCTTTAGCCCTCGCTGATTTTGGGGGATGATCCCTCCACTATTTTCATCACTTTCCTACTTTCTACTACCCTCAGGATCTTCCCAAGGCTGCTGCTATCTTCTCATTTCCCAATGATTACATTTAGAAGCCAGTTTTGTCAGCAATAAAGAGATCAAAATAAGGAAATATCTATTTCGGAATAAACAAAGAGAGAGCAGGCTCAGATTCGGGCTAATAATTTACCGTCCTCTTCCCCAGCTCCCAACTGTTCTCTTTCATTGTCTTAATGTACGGACCTTTCAGCTTTTCTCAAAGAAAAACAAGATGCTATTTTTATACAGAACACATCATCAGCCGCAGCTACCTTCCTGCTGTGCATTGCCACAAGCCTGACCCGTCTGTCTCTGCTCAGTTTTTTTTAATTTGTTCTCTCTGAACACATTTGTTCTTTTAACGTAAAGCAGCGGTTCTCAACCTATGGGTCGCGACCCCATTTGGGGTCGATCGACCATTTCACGGGGGTCGCCAAGCAAGGCTGTCCGCCATTTTTTTTCCCCTTTTCCGGCGGGTGCCTTACCTCCCTTGAGCTGGGCCAGCTGGTGGTTGGCCTGCTCCGTCTCTGCCGCTTGCCAGCTACGCCTCGCCGGCGCAGGGGGCGGAACCACGCATGCGCGGCGCTCCCGGGCAGGGAAAGTCCTTGACTTACGACCGGTTGGGTAGTCCTCGACTTACGACCGGTTTAGTCCTCGACTTACGACCAGTTGGGGGTCGCGGCATTAAAAAGGTTGAGAACCACTGACTTAAAGGGACACCAGGAAAAAGATTAGTGTAAGGCAAGGGTAAGGCAACTTTAAGACTTGTGGACTTCAACTCCCAGAATTCCCCAGCCAGTATGGAGGATTCTGGGGGTTGAAATCCACAGGTCTTAAAGTTGCCAAGGTTGGGATGCCCTGGGCGTAAGACAAAGGGGTTGACACTACTGAAAATATCTTAATATCTTTCAGTAAAAGACAAACTTCTTCATGGATTATTGCCTTGTCATGCCGAAGGGGCTTGTGTAACTCAAGGAAGCTATGAGCTATGCTGTGCAGGGCCACCCAAGACAGACAGGTCATAGCAGAGAGTTCTGACAAAATGTGATCCACTGGAGAAGGAAATGGCAACCCACTCCAGTATCTTTGCCATGAAAACCCCATGGACAGTACCAAGGTTTTCCCAGTTGCAATGTATGGCTATGAAAGTTGGACCATAAGAAAGGCTGAGCGCCAAAGAATTGAGGCCTTTGAACTATGGTGCTGGAGAAGACTCCTGCAAGTTCCCTGGACTGCAAGGCGATCAAACTGGTCAGTCCTAGAGGAGATCAACCCTGACTGCTCCTTAGAAGGCCAGATCCTGAAATTGAAACGCTTTGGCCACCTAGTGAGAAGGAAGGACTCACTGGAGAAGAGCCTAATGCTGGGAAAGATGGAGGGCAAGAGAAGAAGGTGACGACAGAGAGTGAGGTGGCTGGATGGAGTCGCTGAAGCAGGAGGCGTGAGCTTAAATGGTAGAGGACAGGAAGGCCTGGAGGAATGTTGTCCATGGAGTCGCGATGGGTCGGACACGACTTCGCAACTAACAACAACAAAAAGACAAAGATTGGTCTTTCAAAGACAAGCAAAGTCCATATTTTGGACAGAGAGGACCACTGCTTTGAAAGAGGGGTCAAAGAGGCCACCTATGTCAAAACTGAACAGCCCTCTCTCAACAGAGAGGGAGGGATACGAGACGTCATCTATCTCCAGTCTACAACACAGTCCTTTCAGCAGTTCCAGGAAGGCTCCACACCCATTTGCACCACTCAGGTAACCTTGACAACACAGGTAAACCTCCAAATGGCCTCAAGGACTCTCTAGATTTTAACAGTGTTTCTCAACCTTGACAATTTTAAGGCATGTGGACTTCAACTCCCAGAATTCCACAGCCAGCATTGCTGGCTGTGGAATTCTGGGAGTTGAAATCCACATGCCTTAAAATTGTCAAGGTTGAGAAACACTGCAAGAAGGAGGCAAATGACCAGCTGTCTGCAAGGAGTATAAATCCTTCCATTCCCCACCATCCAGTCAGAGCTGAAGAAGCTTCTTGGAAGAGAAGCGAAACGTCTTCAAAGAGAAAAACAAGGAAGTTGCCTCCTGAAAAAGCACCTTTGGAATATCTTTCAGTATCTACTGAGGGAAAATTGACAAGTTGTTTATCCACCGTGATTATCCTGTTAACAAAGCATTCCCTGAAAAGAGAAAGGATTACAAGATTTTAAGGTGGCTTCAAGGGTTTTCTTTCAGGTAATTTCAGCTGCGATGCTCTTTAGCTCATCTGCCAAAGATATTCCTAAGCCAGGTGATTTTGATATCTCAATACTGCACCTGTTGGATTTCTATTTTTCATGCAACTGCTACCGTAGAAACTAAAAACTCATCCGGTATTTATTTGAGGCTAACTGGATCAGATCTGTTCAAATGTTTGAGCTGAGCCAGGGACAAGAAGATGCTTCACATTTTTGTTAAGCCTCCAAATCTTGATAGTTAATTAAGTCAACGTCATATGGACAGACATTAAACCATGATTGGGAAGATCCAGACTAAACCATGATTTTATGAATGGTCCTTTCACCTCTGGGGCTTTATTTTGATTTTGCTATGCACACTGTCCACATAACCAGCTGGCTAAGAAGAATCTGAAATAAATCCTCATTTCTGAAGTTAGGAGACCTCACGGGTCTTCATGTGGATCAAAAGGCCCAGATGACAGCTTTACGTACGCTTCTTGACTTTTCTGATCACTCTTCCAGACACCTCGGGGTAACCCCTTTGCTTATGCTTCTAAATCAGGGGTCTTCAAACTTGGCCCTTTTATGATTCGTGGACTTCAACTCCCAGAATTCCTCAGCCAGTTTGCCTGGCTGAGGAATTCTGGGAATTGAAGTCCACGAGTCATAAAAGGGCCAAGTTTGAAGACCCCTGTTCTAAATCAATGTTTGGCCAGTTTAAGTCAAGGGGACTTCAACTCCGAGAATTTCTCATGCTGGCTAGGGAATTCTGGAAGTTCACACATTTGAAAGCTGCCAAAATTGAGAAACACTGCTCCAGAATTATAACTGATCTGTTTAAGCCTGTTGCGTGAACACAGCCCAAATTGTGGAGGGTTTAGTTTTCATTACGGATTGCAGGCCACACATGGAGGCCACCAGCACTGCTTCTAGGGAGGTAAAAGGATGAAAGCAACTTCACACAGCCACATCACCAGCCTCTCCTTCTTCTATGTGATACAAAAAAAAAAAAAATACAGGTAGTCCTTGACTTACAACCACAATTCAGCCCAAAGTTTCCATTGCTAAGCAAGACAGTTGTTACGTGACTTTTGCC